CTCTTAATAGAACTTCACATGACATTGATAGTTTGAATGTAATGACGTGTTCAGTTGGGTTGAATCTGAATTTATGTAAATCAATTGCATTAGAGTTTTCCTATCTCAGTTCAAGTTAGTATTATAATACACGTACACCGTTAGGTTTTTGTAATTTCACATCAACACAATACATTTATACATGTCAGTGTTTCAGATGGGTTGTGCTCCATGTGGAGAAATCGCCATTAAAATACAACATTCTCTTTCATCATACTTGCAAGACAAGTTATGTCTATGGAAAAACAATATTTTCCCCTTTTCTTTACAGAAACTTTTAGAAAACATATATAAGATGGTGATTCATCCTTGATACTCTGGTAACCAATATATTTACCGACGTTTTTTGTATTTCATAGCTACTCTGTCTTTGCCACTATGTAAAACTGGGCTAACTTAATCTCATTGTGGATTTTCTTCGTAACATAATATGGACAAAAAGTATTAAAACCTTGATTGTTTAATATATTCGAAAAAGCCTGAAAATTGTTTAATTCAAAGTTGTAAATATATGAAATTTACCTCCAGAATGTGTAAACGGGAGATGTTTATTCATTTAGAACATTTTTACTACAGACCCAAAAATGGTGAATTGTCTATTGAAAAAAAGAAAACTTTTACATCTTAAATTCTAGTTAAAGCTTTCAAGAAAATATCTATTTTTACCACTCTTGAAAGTCTAATAAGCAAAGTTGCATTTAACATCTTTACTTACAATAGCTACCACACCAAAGATATGCCGATATCAGAAATATAACATTTCTGTGGGAAGAATTGACGAATTTATTAATCTTTTTATAGGATAATGAAATATTTCAAACATATTTACAAATTCAGTTGAATTTCTTTATTTATTAAAGCTTTTGTGAAGTCAGTGCAAGTATGTTTGAGGAGAAGATGAATTACAATCCTTACTTGACACTTTAAATACATAAATGTGAAGTTCAGTTATGTTGAGGCTGTGAATGAAAAGCAAATACTAAAGGAAAGCCACCACTTTATCGTGGGAAAATAAGTTGCAACACATTAAAGTCACGTGTCGATAGATTACTATGTGAATGATTGTAACTCAACTAGTCAGAAAATGTCACCCCAGTATAAGGCCGTACCTTGACCAATAGTGGTGTATATCTATTCGTAACTCCTAGGACTGAAATACTGCATGACAAGCATGCAGAAATCAAATTTTGTATGTGTTAAGGATATTACATGTAGAAAAATAATAATAATAAATAATAATACACATTTTAATAATAAACATTGTCGAAATAGAAATCTAGACAGTCCAGCATTGAGCTTACTATCTAAGGGTATGTTCTTTATACATACAGCAATTGTGGTGAAATGATTTCTTGATGGTAAACAGGGAAATGGAACACTCATAACCATGGCTTGGCCTGAAAAACGTCCCGATATAAATATTCTTGAGGCTATATATGCTTATGTACAAACTGAAGATGTGATCGAAACGTTTGGCTGAACTGTGGGGAGTAATACAGGACATTTGGAATAATACTCCACAATCAGAAATTGATACACTATATGACAGCATGAAAACCAGTTGAGAGAATCGAACAGCTCACAAACAAATACAATTTATTCGTTTTTCTTTTGTATTTGGTGTGATAATGCTTAGTATAATTATTAAATTCACCAATTAAATGTCATTATGTGCTATATATAATTTAATATTCATGTAATCTTAAACAATTACACAAAAAGTTGAATAGTAACTTTTTCTAGATACTAGAATACTATACTATTTTATATATAGTTGAACCAATTTATCCTTTGCGTACATTTGTTGTCAGCAAGCTCATGGTTTCATAGCAGAAGTCTTTGCCACTATTTAATACTGGGCTAATTTCATCTGTTAGTAGATTTTCTTGTAACTTAATATGGACAAAAAATATGGAAGATCATTGTTTTCGAAATAACATTATCAAGGTTATTATGATAAGTTATTCTAATTCCGAATACTATACCGTTTTAATAATAACTAAATATTTTGCTTAGGTTATAAATTCCTCGTTGCATCATGAAATCTTTGTGTGACACTTCCAATCCCCGTTTGTTTTTAGGTCATTTAGGTTAGCAATCTGTTGTTGTTGTCTTTTGCCGCGGTAAGCGTCTCAAAGAACGGCTCTCAGTCTGTTTTTTTTTCTTTTCAAGTACAAACATTTAGCTCATAGCTCCGTCATCTCTTGACCTATTTCAGATCAAATTCCAGTTTTCGACTCAGGAAGTCAAAACCTTTCGATTGATGTATTTGATTATGCCAAAGATCTCATAGATTAATTTATTTAAATCCTGCCTAAAATAATTTTAATTTGAGGGTAGGCTTGTAAAGATCCTGATGAGTATTGCTTGATATTGCTGGCGCAAAAAAGATAGCCAATAAAAAAAGTTTGTTTGAAGTTAAGCACAAAGCTACACAATAGTCTATCTGTGCTCTGCCCATCACGGGTATCGAAACCCGGTTTCTAGCGTTGTAAATCCGCAGATATATCGCTGTGCTACTGGAGGTGGGAGGAATAAAAGGGAAACAAAGATCTCATTGATTAATTTACTGTAATCCTGCCTAAAATAATTTAAGTTTCGCGGCTATTGAGGATTCCCTCATGTTGTGTTTTGTTGTTGTTTTTTACCGTGGATAATCTCTTGGATTTTGTATCGTGCTTTGCTATATATATATATATGTTTATTTAACCTCTTAACTTAAGTTAAACAGATCATACTACAACGTTTTTTAAGCCACATTTCATTGAAAAGGAATCGAGTATAAAACTATATTTCAATTTCTTATCTTATTCAAAAACCCATTTCAGAAAGTATAGAGTCGTAACTGCTAAACAAACTCCTTTATATTTTTATTCAACCAGTAGAGATTGTATTACAAAGCAAATCTTAAAGTGTTTGATAAGTTATTTTCTTTTTTCTTACAAAAAGGTCTCGTTGCGATTTTTGTAACAGTTAGCAGTAGTATAGCGACAATAAAATCGGTTTCAAATTCGACTTACATGATCGGCACAAAAACTTAAAACTTAGGGAGGAATATCGTCATTATTTAGAGAATCTCGTCACTTTGGAAGGGAAAATGGACGAATACTACATAGAGAAAAAAAGATAAATTTTGTTGACCTTATACGACATCAATTTAAACTTTGGTAGTATTCGTAAAGGACATAGTAATTATGCATATAATTTAGGTTTAATATCACTTGTGATAAATTACAACAGAGTAATTATCAAGTCTTAGTTTCGCTATATGATAAACTTCCACAGTCAGCTTCTTCAGTGATGCGGATTATTTTGCTAGTTACTTCCATAAAAAAAAACGTTGCGGTAAGTACCAGTGAAGGCATCTTAAACCATGGGTTGGTCAGTTTCACTACATAAGTACTAGTGGAGTCGTCGTAAGTCAAGGGTTGGTCAGTCTTACTATATACATACTAGTGGAGTCATCTTAAACAGTGGGTTGGTCAGTTTCACTATATAAGTACTAGTGGAGTCGTCGTAAGTCCAGGGTTGGTCAGTCTTACTATATACATACTAGTGGATTCATAAAAAAAAACTTGAGTTAGTCGGTCTCACTAGGTAAATACTAATGGCGTTATTGTAAGTCAAGTACTATATAAGTACTAGTGGAGTCATCTTAAACCATGTGTTGGTCATTTTCACTATTTAAGTACTGTTGAAGTCATCGTAACCTATGTGTTGGTCAGTCTCACTAGTTAAGTACTAGTGGAGTTCTTGTAAGCCATGTATTGGTCAGTCTCACTAGATACGTACCAGTGGAGTTGTCGTAAGCCATGTATATCAGATTCACTAAATAAGTACTAGTAGAGTCGTCGAAAGACATGGTTGGTCAATCTCACTAGGTAAGTATAAGTGATGCTGTTATAATCCACAGGTTGGTCAGTCTCACTCTGCATGAGTGAAAGGAGCAAAGACACGGATCATGTAACCAATGGTACATCCAAATCCTTGATCACTAACTAACCAATTGAAAATAGTAGTTATTTTATTAGTTGGGATAAAATATTTTACAAAAACCTAACACTCATTAATAATTACGGTTTCTTTAAAAGAAAAACAGATTCTGGAAACATGCTTTCATTAGAATGTATTTTCTTAAACATTTTGGATATAAGCCTAATATCTTCAGTTTATGGATATACTTGATTTTGTTTTATTTTTCTTCAAAAACAATAGTAACTTATAGATCTAAATTTATTTCATTCAATAAGTTTTATTTGGGCATTAGATTTTGCTAAATGTTTCTTAGTGCGTGTGTGCATATTTACTTATTTAACGTTATATTTGGTATAATATGATATACCCACTCAACGTAACTACATATAGAATTATATGAAAAGATGCAATAGGTGAGCTTTAAACCTTCGATACGTATTCATATTACTAGTGTTAAGCAGCATACATTTCATAATAATTTAGCTAATTACATTTTCTAATGATTTTATTCGCACAAAGAAAATGAAGTATATAAACTAGTTAGTGCTTAAAGAGACTAAGAAATTTGTTTAAACACCTCTTTAGAAACCAAACAGTTTCATTTTAAAACATAAAATATGTACATTTGTATATTATATCACTATTTCCCATCAAGTATATCCTAGTGAAGAGATCTAATATTTATTGTAACTAAACGTTTATCAATATTCCATCGCGAATTTGCTATAGTTCTGTTAACAGCTATTTTTGAATCATTGCTGTTGTAGATTCATAATGTGTATCTAAAAACTTGTATCAAATACACAATGTCGTAAACTATGTATTTCAAAGAGAAGCGTGATATAAAATTATATTTATCTCTGTTGAATGATAAATAATGTTGAATGTGATAGGAATGTTTTATTCTAATGTCTGATGCATGAAGAAAACAATATGATTATTTATTACAATCTAATTCAACGAAAATGTCAGGGAAAAACACTTACATCAATATAAACTCCAGGTAGTTCGTACTGGTGAGCTCTAGGTTCCTCCTTTGGAAGATAACGATAAAACTCTACACTGTTTTTGTACCATTTTACAGAATACAGATCATCGTGTTCCAAATCAAATGAACAGTTCAGCCATACAGGATCACCACTCTCAACAACACTTGGGACTTCCAAATCTAACAAACGCAAACCATGTAATTCTGAAAATAGAGATCATAATTAATTTATCCGTCTATTTTTAAAAATATATAAACGGGATGTATAATTTAATGTACTTTTAATAAAAATCAAGCTAGCTAACAATCTTAGGTTCTTTCTGTTGTCTTTGACTTTTATATCCTAATCATGCAACACAAAACGAACTACACTGATAAATATGGAAAAAATAGAAGCTGATATGAAGTCATTAAAAATATTTTTCAGTGTTTCATTTCGACAAAATGTATTTGACTTCATATAAGCTGTTAAGAACATTGAATACGTAGCTGTAGATTCTGTGGTTATATTTTAAATGATCTTACTAAGAGTAAAGCTAATAAATTATCTCATCTTCATAAGACGATACCTGCAGAAGTAGCAAACTGACTTTTTTCTGAAATATTAGTTGCTAAAACTAACAAGAATTCGTTCATTTGAAATATATAATACATGTGTTATAATCTTGTACACCCTTACATTATCAAAGCTGAAAAAATGACTTTTTTCATAAGTTATCAAACATAATTTTATAAATCTTAAGGACCATACTGCTGAAGAAGGCTTAGAATTGTCATCTTCTGAGAGCTAAGTAAATACGAGATCAAAGTTTAACATTTTCATAATAGCTTGTTGTCATCTTAGTTGACACTGTTTTTTATTTGACAAAGAAAAAACTAGAGAGAAGGATCTTAACTAAAAGGTGAACAGACAATTTATTCAAAGTATGTGAAGAAAAACTGTATTAAAACAGAGGAATGTTCAATTTTGGCAGTGTCGACAAGTTTAATCAAGTTTCTAAACTGTTCTTCTCGTGTTGATTACAGGAGAAGACACAGGTAAAAAATTAGGTACAAACCAAACAGCTAAGGGTTACTGTAGGTAACACAAAAGAAATTTCTTTGAAGTGCATTGAACAAACAACGTGTTTTGTTCAGAAAACTAGAAGATTTGTCATTCATTCTTCTGACTGTCGAATATATATATATAGTGATTAACTTTTGTTTGCTTTGTGTAATTAAAACCAAATTATCGTTCAGCATAAGTTTTCGTTCCAACACTTTCCTTAGGTAAAAAAAAAAGAGTTGATTTTTATATTTGGTGAAAGAAATATATCATACACACACTGAAATGAAAACTTCTAACTAGCTTACAGATTGCATGTTGACGATCGTCTACATAATGACTAGAATTTTGATAATAATCTTGATGTAAGTGGGCACTTAAACTTTATAAACTAGCATTGTTATAATGCTTCAGTAAAGGAAGTTATAAATTACAATGTTTTAAAATTAAGTCACTTGCCAGTCCCCCAAACGTAAGCCCTAAAATATAACATTCCTCTTTTGTTCTAAGGCTCTGAGTGTAGGGGATCAAAAGTAATTTAATGACAAAATCTAAATAATTACATTATAATCTATTTGTAATATGTAAAATATAATATATAGTATACACTCTATATCCTTCTTGGTAATCTGGCAGTTCCTCCTAGAAGGTAGCTTTGTTGCTTTTTAGGCTGTATGTAATCTCACTAGATGTTATGCTTGTGGTACTCCTGTGAGTTTCCGATCCGTGGCTTTTTCTATGTTAATGTTAATGTCTCAATCATTCTTATAATGTTCTTTCCATTCATGTTGTGTATTCCTCTGGTAATAGTGTATTTTCTTTTTTTGTGTTGAAATCATTGCACGTTTTCTATATAATTGAATAAGATAATTCCTTGTATGCAGCAATAATCTTTCTTTGTTTGTTTAGTGCAGGAGAACTGTGTCACCAACGGCGTTGCTCGTAAAGATTGCACGTTGACGCTTGTCTACATAAATATTCACCTAGGATTTAGCACTTCTGACACTTTAGCTTACAAAGACGTCTGATATTATGCAGCTGGATACGTTGTCCAGAAAATCAACACGAGGAGTATCAGTAATATTATATGGATCTCCACGTGAATTCGTTGGAAAGACGTAATTCTTGCGTTCAAGGTTTTATCTAAACTTCAGCAGCACAAATAGACGTTTCCAGGACGCTCACGTACCATTCTATTATGGAATGTAGCACTGAGCCAGTGTAGATGATGTTTTAGAATGAGAAATTTTTAATTGTCGAATAGCGATTCATTGCCAGTTTTTAATTCTTTGGAATTTCCAAATAAGACAATTTTTGTCAAGGTTATGGACAACAGTACTAATGAAGTGGATGCACAACAACCATAAGATCGTCAAGAGTTGTGAATGACCCACAGTAGTCTATACTGAGTTTATCCATTTTTAACCTTATTCTATAGTTTTTAGAGGCTGGAAGTTTGACATGATACACAATCTTTAATCCATTAATCAACGACTTGAATATTCTCAAGAACTACAGTGTTTATTGTCTTTACACGATTTCAATTGTATTCATAATTCAGTGAGATTTCTCTGTTCTTTATCGGAAAGAATGTTTTACTTTATCTAAGATTGAGACCATTTTCAGTAGAATGTAATGCATATCCCGGAATTTAGAAGGTGGCATCTAGATTTCTTTGTTAACGTGTTTTTATATCCTTAGTTTTCGTTTCCATCTATGACTTATGACTACAGTGTTAGCTTACTTTTTTCATCATACAAAGTACTTAATCAATTGCAATCGTTTTCACATTTGTATTTCTTTTCTATTCTTTATAACACAATTTTCCAAATGTCCTACCAACTAATGTCATATTGGTATTGGGATTCGTTATATTATGCTTTTATATCTGAAATAGTAGAGTTGCACTTTGTAGCTAATTGTCCCAAACACATTTAAAGCTAGTCTTCTGTTACATTTCATTCCACTTTGCTTGTTCAAAAATATATTTTCAGTATTTTGATATTTATTTTTGGCTTGAAATATTCATTACGTTTTGTTACTCTGCTGTCAAGTTGCCATCCTTGTGCAATATCAAATATTTCATGAACTTTTCGCCTGCGTAGTAGGATTTATATTGTTGTCTCCTACTATATTTTACGCAATTAGAAGACTTTCCAAACACTGATTACATTTAATTAGTCTTGTTACTAATGAAGCAGAGACTATGAAGGTTTTGAAAGGCTCAAATGGAATTAAGAAAGTAGTCACCATGCTGTTCAAGAAGAAACATGTCTTATGAAACAAGAAGTTTATATTCAAAATATTTTTGCCTCATATCAATTTCACTTATTATTTAGAGTAAAAAACATCTTCATGTAAGTACAATGAATACACTTGGAAACAATTTTCAAAAATACACGACTTTAGACATATTTAAAATAATGTTGTCAGGGGTCGCTCTGACGACGTAGGTAATTTTGCATACAACATAAACCTTGTTATTTCTTTAAATCTTGAATGGAAGATATTGAAAAAGGAAAATGTGTTACCTATAATATAATACTACAACAGAAATACAAAAAAACATTACAACTGTAATTGTCATTTTCTACATTAAGTGTTTGAAATAAAGAAATAGATTAACTTGTTACAAATTGTTCTGTTAAATGACAATCAGGTGGCCCCATTTTAGAAATGTTCAGCAAAAACAACTGCTACATAAAGCTTCTGACCATCACACATAATTTTACTGCTCTTAAGTACCAAAAAAAATTTATGGAGAATTTTAGAACATCAGAAAATGCGCAGTAATAGAATTCTACTATCATTTTGCTTAAATAACTCAGGTTGATGAAATACATTGAAGGGCATTGAATATAAAGAGTGCTATCCGAGCTTGCCAGTTTTACGTTATCATGAGGTTGAGGAGTTGCATTTGTACTTTCTTTGTTCATTTTACTAAATAAATATTTGTTATTGCTTAATGTTTCAGAGCGAACAATAAATATAATATTGCTGGTAGATATTAATAATATAAGTGAGATGATTGATAAAACCACAAACGACGGTCGGTATTTAAAACAATGGCTTTATGCATGCTTAACATTGTCGCATGGTGTTCACAACATTAGCTTTAGGCATACGTAAAATTTGTACATTATTGTGTGATTATTTCCAACACTATAATTTAACTTTTCAATGTCCCACAGGTGTCTAGTAAAGTTGTATCTTAATAAATCACGCTATTTATCTCAATAGGTATTATAGTTTTAATTACATTTACGTCATCGTGGAATCTCAAACGCTCTTACTTGATTCTGTTATTTGCATGCTCGTCATGAAACCAATCATACTGTTATGTGTTTTTTTCTGTTAAAATATTTTCTATTTATGGATTGATATATTTTGTTTCCCGCAAAAATTTTATTCCTCTATATATTCTCCAATAGAGATGCTTGTTCGTGATACATCCAGAAGTGTGTATTTGTCTCTGAAAGTTAATTTGTTTATGTTTTATTACGTTAAGATTGTTATTGTAATCCACATCCATAAGAGTGTGCTGCTTACCATCAAAATTTACGTCCTACATTCTTGTTTATTAACATGCTTGTTATTCATTCACCCATAAGTATATGCTTTTCATCAAAACTGATATGTCTCTTTGTCCATAAAAAATACCAACCAAATCGATAATGTTTTGCTGTCAAAGCTGCTAATCGAAAGATACGCATGAACCCAATGTAAAATTTTGATACAACAAGTGAAAATACTTAGATATGTAAGTATAATATGCCCTTAAGTGTAATATTTCTATTAACACATTAGCAATTACATGGACTTAAATAAATTTATAAAATCAAGAATACAATACAGTGTGGAATTTGATGAAGTATTATAAAACACATTTTCGAAAGAAAATAATTTTTTACACGTCAAATTGTGAATCTCGGCAAAATGGTGGGTAAAAAAAATAGGATTTTGATATTCATTTTAGTGCACGAAGCAGAGATATTAGTGTTTGAAACTTGCTTCTGCTCTATGTCAAATCGCAAGGAAAATTTGTTAGAATTGAAATCGTTGAATTGCATGCACGGGTTGTTCCTGCTCAGCGGATTTAACGAACCATTTCACTGGTTTCTTAACCTTACCACACTTCCCTTTACCTACTATGACTGAT